TTTATAAGCTAAGTTTATAAACTGGGTTTATAAATCAGGTTTATAAACTAGATTATAAAACTGGTTCAAGAACTTGTCGTTAATTTTTCTTTGAATGAACGGCTAAAAAGAGTAGTTTGAACCAGATTCGAACCCGGTTCATTTGAACGACTTAACATCCCTAGTTTCGAGTTTCGGATAGAGTTTCGGATTTAGGTGAGGTTTCGGATAAGGTTTCGGAAAATATAATTCGAAACCCGAAACTTTCGGATTTGGCAAAAAATGGGTTCGTAGCCCAACTCTAGCACACTTTGCAAGTTGATATTTTATTAACAATTTTCTTATCGGCAGAAATAAATGCCTTATATTCATCTGCTTCAACTCCAATTCTATAAAGATAACAACACGTGTTCCAATCTCTGCTGTTTTTTTAAAAGTAAACAAATTCCTTATGTTGATCCTTTTCAACTCCAATTCCTTTGAGGTAACAATATCCAACATTACGTATTCCCTTAGCTTCTCCCATCTCAGCAGATTTTTGATAATAAATGAATTCCTCATGTTCATTCTTTTCAACCCCAATTCCTTTCTTATAACAGATTCCAACGAAAAATATTTCATCATGGTAACCGCATCAGCATATTTTTTATAATAATCAAATGTCTTAGATTCATTTTACCAGAACGATAACAATGTACAAGCATGATTTGAGTCATAGAGTCAAATTGATTATATAAGCAATAACTTCTGTTATCGTGAAAGAGCAATAAAGCACAAAGCCTATTACAATTTCCATTACATAGACAAATTTCATTGGTCGTTATATTTGAACTTTAGACAAAAAAAATATTCCGGCAAAAAGTAAGTTACCTCACCCGGAAAGTTTGTGCACTGGTGTAGGCGTATATGCTCAATCTGCAGCGTAAACTCAGATCCCAGAGTTGACGTCAATATATCGTAGACGCTCTAAATTTAGTGCAAGAAGTTAGAATGTATTTAAAGGGTTGCTATCGCTCTTAGTTCATCATCAAATGTACGCTCTCTGAAATCGTTTCTAAATAAAGTACTCATAACATACATTCTTTTATATAATCAATGTCTACGAATCAAATAAAATCCAAGTTCTTTAATTATTTTATCATCAAGCTCTCTTACGTCAACTACCGGAGTTAAACTCAGCATGATTGTCGAAGGCTCTCACATTCGATTGTGACAATAGCTACGATTATCGAATAAGTAATAAAGTTCAATAACTTTTTAAATGAGCAATTGACCAATAAAATTACTTTATATGCAAATAAACTAAATGACCTGGCCATTATTTAATGGGTTGGGTCATTTATCATTCCTGGTCAATATAACAGTTAGAAAAGAATTAACATATGTTCGGATGAAATACCTTGGGAGGTGAAATCCTTAAATAATCCTGATAAAGCTAGGTGTCATTGAACCACTTTTAATCTTAGCAATCACACTGTATTATATATATTATTGGCTCAAATTTTATTTAATCTCATCAATCAACTTGACTAACCATAAAATTGAAGTTCTCCACCCATATGTCAACAAATAAATTATGCGTCGGAACATTATCATACCGTACACATAAATATCCAGTGTAAATATAACATCAATCTCATTCCTGAGGTTATATGAGGACTCTTATAGGTATATATCAGAAAATAGTATAAACTTGTCTTTATAATATTCATGAAAGTGTTGAAGATTGTTTAGAGATCAATTTTCTTTATTGTTTTTTCCTCTAATTTTTGGGTTTTACATCAATTTCGTCATGTGAGTAATTATGATTGATATCGGCTTGATTCGAACGATGCGAGAAACATTTATGATGGACAATGTTTAAAATATTAATACAGTCAGAACTCTCTAAAATGCAAATTCATGTCTTCAATTGGGCCCAACTACACATGAGAGTAAAATATACAAATATTTACTTGATAGAGATTGAATATTACTGTATTAAATACATTAATGATATCTATAAACATATAATATTCTTTATATAATATTTTTAACTATAAACATATATATATATTGACTATTAACATATAATGTTCTTTGACTATTAACATATAATATCATTTCGTTAATATTAATCTAGAATTATTCTAGATTCACGTTCTTTTGCACGTAATTGTTGTTGATGAATAGCGCCTTGCCTTTTTGACGTAGGCGAAACAGTATTTGATTCCTTTTCAGCCTGACCAAATACAGTAAGTACATAAAGTCCACGTTTCATATTTCTGAAACAAATGATAGAATAGAATATAGTAAGTGATACAAGAGCTAATATTGTAGCTAGGAAAAAAATTAGGAATCGTCGAGTGAATAGATATGGATCATCTAAAAAAAAATAAAAAATGTAAGGTCATATGAATGGGTGTTCAATGATCATAATTAAAATAAATAAATTAATAAATATAGATAAATAAATAAATACCAGAATCGTTTTGTGAATGAATGTTAACCGTTATAAGTCGGTATGGCCAGTAAATCAAAGAGAGGGAATACATATTGATAACCACTAACAAAAGATATTTCTTTTCCATAGTTACAGAGAACCAAGCCATTACTAACATAACAGCACCAGAAAAAAAGACAAGAATAACCTCCGTAATAGACCAGAAATAGGAAGCATATCCAATAGTTCGAGAAGGTAAGAGTTGTAAAGCGTATGATCCAATAAAAAATAGGTCCATTTTAATCAATGTCTGTAAAATTGTGAGGGACATATGTGTGTCACGGAGTTGAATATCAGCAGAATAAGTTTTATAGTTTTCCCAACCAAATTCTTTGGCGAGCAAATAAGACAAGAAAGGAAAATATAGAGAAAAGCCAGATATTAGACCAATGATAGTATGTTCGATTGGTCGCATTCTAGCTTCATAGTAGGATTTGGGGGCATTTCTATCACTTATAGGGAAAAAAGAATCCGGGGTATAATCAGCACGTTCAGTCCCTTCGTCTTCGAGAATTTCGTGTTGATAAAGTTGTATTCCCGCATATGTTAGTGAAAGAAAATTGAATATGACAAGGCCTATTATCTGAACAGTATTGCGATGCCAGAGTGCCTCAGCAGCTAAAAATACTTGGAAGAATAGCGAGAGTATAAATCTTAAAAGAAAAAAAAAGAAAGTTTGTTAAAATACCGATTTTAAAACAATTACATTACATGATAAATTCATTACAATACTTACATTGCATGATAAATTAAATCAGCTTCAGATATTCCGTTACCTTGATCAGATAGTTTATATTGCTTAACGAAATTTAAATGGAAATAAACAACGAAAGCTTCTAAAGTGGATAATATTATCGCTTGTAATATGAAAGAAATCAGCGTGATTTTTCCTATGATAGATAATTTGAACATGGTTCATATATAATTAATTGAATAATCAAGGATGAAATAAAAATTTGACGTTATTCCCTAAGGTGCTTTATTAAATTAAAAAAAAAAACTCGAGAATGAAAATTTCTTTCATTTCAATATTTGTACGGCACAATGGACAACTAGGGTCAATGACGTGAGTAGTATTTTATAAATTGTATAGATTACCTGCAAATGATTGCCAAATTTCTATTAGTGTTTTGGGATCCTACGCTAAACTTTAATGGTTGAGACGTATATGTTGCGTTTTAGGTTACACGTACGTTAAAAATTACAACGTAATTACTTAAATATAACGATATTCGATGAAAGTTGGAGCACAACATATGTATTTTATTAGTATAGAAGTGAATTTTTGGGTTTATTATATTGGAATTTTATTATTACTGTATTATTACTTAACATATGGCCTTTACTAATTTTATAAATTATATAGGTCATGTAATTATGAACATTGCAAAAAATTAATTTGCAAGATCAGTGTAACTTGACATTTAAGAAATTCCTTGATTAACTTTAGCATATGGTTTCTTTTCCTGACCTTAACCTTTGCTAAAAGTTTCTATTATTTAATCTTCTAATTAATTACATTAAGCTATTCGATTTTCATGATTAGCTGTTGCACAGAATTCTTGGAGAACATGTGTGAGAAGAAAAAAAAACAAAAAAAAACTTAAAAATCAATGTTTAATATGACCTTTGTTTACTAATTAAAAATTAGAATCAAATTTTATGTATATTGGCTACCTCCAAGTTATTTTATACAGTAGTGATAAATCATTTCTATTTACAGTCGCACCGTGAGGAGATTTCGATTGGAGATTTACTCATTTGTTCATGTAATACAGCCTCCTAAAAAGAAAATGGTTAATCTGTGTGAATCCAAACTTTGATTTTCCTAGAAGGAAAAAAAAAAGCATGTTTAAATCGGCCTTGGTGTGTAAATTAAGAATGTCAGAAGCAAAATTTATATAAGCGATAAGTTATTTCTATATCTAGAATGTTATTTTCCCGCATTAAATTTATTTTAATATTAAGTTTTCTTCTTTTGGGCTTGTATTACTCGGGAAAATAAGTAAATCTCGGCAACTTTGAAATTCAAAAAACCCGAGTAAGAAATCTTGGCTGCAGCAGTTTTTATAATTTGTGTTTTGTCTAAACAAATGAGCATATTTCGTTATTTTGTACTTACATATTTTTTTATCGACTTTGTCAATTAAAGCGAAATCTTTGACTGATTTATTTTCGTAATATTGTCAATCAGAGCCTTGTATTAAAATTTAAAATTTATGAGGTATGTATGTTGTTAAGGATAATCCTATGCAATTTTGATCATGTAATAATAATTGTTGCTAAAGATTTAAAAACATAATCCCCCCGATCACTACATCAAGATCACAAGAGGATTGATTAATAATACCCTGATCCGCATGTAAATAAGCGGAAGAGAAGTTTCTGCTAACTCCCAACAGATCAAGATATTATTAATACAAGTCATATACATGACAAAAATCCGAATCACACATATCCAGTGTTAATTATATTTCACATAAACATGTATGTTTTTTATTTAGGCTGTTTTTACTCGTACATAGTACATTCGTACTACGTACCTAATTAATTAACTATAATAGGGTATCCGTTTCCTTGTCTTCACAATATAACTAAAATGTCGATCGTATTTAATAATACCAAATAATTTAGAACATCAATTTATGCAATTTGTATCGTATAAATTTAGTAATTCATGACATCCATGTGATGAAAATCATTATGTTAATCGAATTGCAACATAAAATTTGTAGATATTGTGGAGTATTAAATATAATTACCTGGTACATATAGATAATGCATTATTACAAGACTAAAAGCTAAGCAAGTTCATATGATGATTGGCAAATAATTACTTTAAGGCAAAGATGGGAAATAACCTGAAATGATTCAAGGAACTCAAATGATAGTAACTAGTCATTAGTCATTTTAAAGCCTTAAATGACTAAGAAGGTCATTTAACAGGTGTCATTAATTCTGTGCTAGGTTTGTGATGCTAATAAAATTCTTTAATATTCAGGGTTAGAGTTTATATTAAGGTCATATGTTTAATTAATAAAAGAATCGCTCAAGAATACTTTTTTGCTCACTTTCCCGAAGGCACCTCGAAATGTATTTCTCCATAATTCTGATAACCCTTTTTCCAGACAAGACCCGTTCATTTCACCGATAATTATCATAAATTCTGGGACAACTGATATAAATTGATCGGCAGAATTTGATAAGTTTTTGAATTCGGTATTATCGGATTACTGTAATGCCGAAAATTCAATTCCGATAACACCAAATTCAAAGAACAAGGGGAACCGTCGATGTTACACGACTGATCCTTCACCCGGTGTGCAGCATATAAAAAAATTGGTTTACAATACCAGATCATTCCGCTAGTACATGTTCTGATTATAATCCCCCACCATTTTATTATAATCATAGCGAAATGGTCTGGTATTGTAAAAATAATTTTTTATATGTTGCACACCGGGTGAAGGATCAGTCGTGTAACATCGACGGTTCCTCCTGTTAATTCAAAAACATATCGAATTCGGTAGATTAATTTATGAGAACAGCTGTAATTCACCGACTGACAAAGTAATTCCGTTCATCGTCGTTAGAATTAGAGTTAAGGTTTAATGCAATTTTTAAAAATCTTGTCGGTGCAATAAAATGTTTGTGAAATGACAGACCCATTTCTGTCCTATTAGTAAAATGGATCGTCGGTAATGATGGCTGACGAAATTATTTTGCGATGACGAAATGGTTTTGTCAATGGTTTCGTCTGACAAAATTTGACGATTGACGATATTATTGACGAAATTATCGATGAAATTAGTTCGACCAATAAATTTAATACAGTTGTCCTTCTTGTTTTATAACGATCTCTGGATATTTTGAATTTTAAATTTTTTTCAAAATTACAGTTATTTAATAGATACATATGAGCTCACAATTTTTTGACAACGAACTTTTTTTTATCAAATAGTCAGTTCGTTATGAAAAGTCAACAGCATAAAAGTTAATGGGTTCATATTGTGAGCCCGATTTTCGGGGTCACGGGTGTCCGTATCGAAGCGACGATCCTGACCCGGAAATGTCGCTTATGTTACTTACGTCGCTTCTGCTACTTCGCCTACATATGAGTTAAATGAAATATTAGTGTTTTATTAGATTTAGTTAGGATATAGAGTATAAGAAATATATTGCGTTTATGAAAGAAATTAATTGCAAATGTAAAT